ATGAATTACTTTTTTATTTTTTGGTCTCAAAATAAACAAAACGCCCGGGAGCCTCAGTCTTTGTCCAGCTGCCACTAGCGATCGCGGGATGTTTATTTCTCCCAAACCTCTATCTTTCCGCCATATAATGCCTAAACGGACGGTGAATAATTTTCGAGATATTTTGATTGTTCAATTTCCCTCTATGCTCAACTAGCCCCGCTCTACCCTACGCACACACACACATACATCATTATTTCTGAGGTATGCCAAAATGTTCAGAAACCTCTAAATCGTGAAAATATGCAAATATTTTTATTTTCGATTTTTGGACGATTTCAATAACTTTCCCTACAGGAAATTAAAAAGAATGTTTTTTGACGGAATTATCAGATATTTCATAGAAATTTTAATATTAAATACAAATGTTAACATTTTTATGGGTTCCGTACTAATGTTAATCTGCATCGTGGCGCTTACACGCTTCGATATTTTGTCTCTACGCAGGCAAAGCAGCGCAATCGCTTTAAAAAACTAGCTGTAAGTGGAATTCTGTCTTAAGGCAATTAAGGCATCGTGCCTTAAGGCAAATTGCTGGAACTTCCCGTACCAAAAATTATTATTTTTTTAAAAACGATTAACATTTTTGAAAAAAAATTACTTTGAAAAAATAAGATTTTTGAGAAACTATAAATTGGACAAAAAATTACTTTTTTTAAAAAAAAAAAAAAAAATTAAATTTTTTTTTTTAAAAAAAAGGTTTTTTTTCTTTATTTTGACATATTGTGGAAGATCTGAACTTTCTTTTCAAAGCAATCGTACTGCTTTAACTGCATAGGGACAAAATATAAAGCGCGTAAGCCCCGCGTCGCTGTCTAACGCATAAGAATTGGTACGGAACCCATAGGAATGTTAACAAAATGTATACTTATTGTTAAAATCTCTATAAAATATCTGATAATTTGATGTGCATATGTCTAATAATCATTTTTGACCGCCAAATGGCTCATTTTTTTACTTTTTCCTCCATATCTCCAAAACCGCTAGACCTTCGATCGATCGATTCTTCATCTTGTCAATACAAGTGAAATGTTTTTTGAATTATTCAAATCGGACGCTCCGTTCTCTCAAAAACGGAGTTACCGTTTTCGGCACTTTTTGCCCCGTATCTTCGGAACGGCTAGACCTGCCTTCGCCAAAAACTAATCAGCACGTCTCCTTATCAATACGAATCGAATGTTTTTTGAATGATTCAAATCGGTGGATCCGTGTTCCCGAAATCGTCGACGAAAATTTGTATCCGCACATACATACATACACACACACACACACACATACATCCATTTTTTTTAAGGTATGCCAAAATGTTCAGAAACCTCTGAAACGTAAAGATATATAAAAATTTTCATTTTTGATTTTTTTGCGATTACTATAACTTGCCCTACGGAAAGTTAAAAAAATTCAAAAAAAATAAAATTTTTTGTGCTGAAAGTTTCAGAAATTTGCCATGAAACACGATGCCCTACACAACTAGTTATTAAATTCATTTTACCAAACTTCGTAGGAGATCTATCGCATGGAAAATTCATCACATAAATCAAGGTCAATGATTGTCCCCCGGGCAGTGGCAGAAAACGACTTATTCGGATTAGCTTTACGCTCATGAACTTTGGCCAAATGCATATTGTAATACCGTTTGTAAATTGTGGGTATTCGATAATAAACAGACCTCTTCTTTATTATTCGTCATATTAATATACAAGGCCACAATTGGAAAACATCAGATAGACTTCTTCTAATAATAAACTTAAACTAGTAGTTTATGGCATTGTGCCTTAAGGCAAATTGCTGGTACTTCCCGTACCTCCCCGAGCAATATTAAATGTTTTTAAATAGATTATTATAAATATTGTAACTTTCATTATTCTTATTTCATAAAAAGTAAATAAACAAAACTTAACTATTTGAAAGTGGCATTTAGCCATAAGGCAAATAGCATGAACTTTCCGAAATGTGTAATAATTGTCTTATGGGGTTACATGGGTTTCACGGTTTCAAAAAATTGTTTTTTTTTGTCTTATTAAATTCTTTAACATCTCTAGAATACTGTCCTAAATTTTCAAGTTAATCCGACTAATACCTTTACCTTTATTGTCTCTTAAAACTTTAAACGCGTTTTTCTCAAAACTATGTTTTCAAAGACGTTTGTCAAGATTTCTCGCGAACTAGTCAACCGATCTTAATTAAATTTCACACAAGTCTACGAGATATCATTTACAAAGTCTTGAACAAAGGATTTTTTTAAATTTACAACTATTTAAAAAAAAATGTCAAAAATTTTTATCGAAATTTGCATTTTTTTAAGAAAACGTTTGCCAAAAATCCAATTTTCATTTATTTTTATTTTTCTTCGTCCATTACCTAATTTATTGTGTTTACTAAAACACGTATTTATTATTTTTATTTTGGATGTTTCTGCAAGAAGTTCTGCTGACAACGCGGAGGCACTTTTTTCCGAGGGACTGCCGCAAATTTTGTCGTGATGTTAATTTTACAAAATGTTTATTAAATATTGAAAAAAGGCCGTTTTTTGGTCGAAGAAACCCGTGTAACCCCTTAATCAACCAAATTTGAAATTTAGATATTTAGATAAAATTTTGAACCGTTTACTTCAAAGATAAAGTTATTGCTTTTAATTAAATCTAAACATTGCGATTTGCAATTTTCTCAAATACATTCAAATGAACTGTATACAGTTTATAATTAACTTCCCTTAGGGTAAGTTATAGTAATCGCAAAAAAATGGAAAATGAAAATTTTTATCTATCTTTACGTTCCAAAGGTTTACCTTAGAAAAAATTGATGTATGTGTGTGTGTTTGTGTGTGTATGTGTGTATGTGTGTGCGTGTGTGTGTGCGGATACAAATTTTCGTCGATGATTTCGGGAACACCGATCAACCGATTTGAATAATTCAAAAAACATTTGATTCGTATTGATAAGGAGACGTGCTGATTAGTTTTTGGCGAAGGCAGGTCTAGCTGTTCCGAAGATACGGGGAAAAAAGTGCCAAAAATGGTAACTCAGTTTTTAAGAGATCGGAGTGTCCGACTTTAATAATTTAAAAAACATTTTACTTGTATTAGCAAGATGAACAAATGATTAAATTTTCATGAAGGCAGGTCTAGCGGTTTTGGAGATCTAGTAAAAAAGTAAAAAATGCCATTTGGCAATCAAAAATTATCATTAGCCATATGCACATAAAATTATCAGATATTTTATTGAGATTCTAGCAGTAAGTATAAATTTTGACTATAAAATTTTGTTTACATTCCTATGGGTTTTGTAGCAATATTTATCCGTTAGATGGCGACGCGGCGCTTTCGCGCTTCTATATTTTGTCTCTATGCAGTTAAAGCAGTACGATTGCTTTGAAAAAAGTTCAGAACTTCCAAAATATTTAAATAAAAGTTTTTTTTTCAAAAAAAAATATTTTTTTTCAAAAATTTATAGTTTCTCAAAAATCCAGTTTTGTTAAAGTAATTATTTTTTTATCTTTTTAAAATAATATATTTTGGTACAGGAAGTTCCAGCAATTTGCCTTATGGCACGATGCCATGCGCCCCACTATTTATATCAAATATATTGCACAGCCACGTGGTTGTATGCCCTAATATTGTATTTAGTTGTATTTTGTATGTAGTTTATTATTCCACATTTTAAAGAATTGATAATGTTTGACACATCACAAAAGTAACTTTTTTTTTATTTAATTTATTCTGCAATCTGTTTTACATATTCATTAACATTAAGCAGAGATTGCTAACAATAATTATCATATAATATAAACAAGAAGATAGTAGCAACACCCAGCGGCGTGTCTACTAGGTATATATAACACATGTTAATAATAATAAGAAATAATAATAATAATAAAATAAAAAAAGAAAAGAAATACAAAAAACAAAACGATAAAAAACAAACAATCAAATAAAATATAAAAAAGAATAGTAATTAGGTTTAACTGGACTAGATAATGTCTTGTGGCAATTTTCTTTTCAATCTGGTGGGCTGACTATCCTGGTAAACTCTGCTGGCCAATTAGTTGAGATGTACGTCAATCCTATTTTTATATTTAGAAGCAACCACTAAAATTTGTTCCTCGATTGTGAGCAAGCCAGTGATGGATAATCCATGAAGGGGTGTAACGAGGAGCTTTTAATATTTGCTTCAGGATTCTGTTTTGAGCACGTTGGATGATGTTCAGATTGCTTTTTTTTTTGCTGTACCCCAAAGTTGGAGACCATAGGTTCATATGGGCTTGAGTACCATCTTGTATATTAACAGTTTATTGTAAACTGAGAGTTCAGAATTGTTGTTTAGTAGCCAGTAGAATTTTTTAAAGGTTTGATCTAATTGCTGTTTTTTTATTAATTATACGTTGTTTCCAACGTTGTTTTCAGGTGGATGCCAAGGTATTTCACCGACTCTTTGGGAGGAATCATTGCATTGTTAAGTTCAACTAAAGGACATGTTTGATTGCATAGTGTGAATGTTACATGGACCGATTTTGAGCTGTTGACCTCTATTCGCCACAGTGAAAACCATTTTTCAGCTTTGATGAGATGTTGCTGAAGACTGCACGATGCTGCTTATGGATCTTTGTTTACGGCGATAATACACGTATCATCAGCAAATATGGCTACACTTGTATCCGTAGAGATTGAAAAATCTGCTGTATAAATTAAAAATAATGTAGTAGCAAAGACGCTCCCTTGAGGCACCCCGGAATTTATATTAGTGATATTTGAGTCTGTATTAGCTATACTGACAAAAAAAATTCTATTTTGTAGATAGGATTTTATCAGTTGAAATAAAGTATCTGGAAGACATCTTTTTATTTTGTACATTAGGCCTGTGTGCCAGACTTTGTGAGATCTAAGAAGGCTGCAGAACAATACTCTTTTCTATGGAATGCGTTGTTGATTATGTTTACAATCCTATGAACTTGCTCTATAGTAGAATGTTGGTCGCGGAACCCGAATTGGTGATTTGGAATTAGATCCAAATCCTGCAGGAAATCTTTGATTCGCCAAAGGATCAGTTTTTCAAAAAGTTTTGAAATGAAAGGCAGCAAACTGATCGGCCTGTAAGATGAAACGAGATGAGGGTCCTTTCCTGGTTTAGTAATCAAAATGATTTTTGCCATTTTCCATGCCTGGGGAAAAGTTTTTAGCCTCAGTATTGAGTTATTATTATTATTATTGTAATCATTCTGATAGCTTTATCGGGTAATTTTTTCAACATTGTGATAGAAATTTCATCTGGCCCTGGAGATTTTCTTGCATTTGCTTTCAGGATTTGTTGCTTTACTTCATTCACTGTGAAACGTTTAACAGGCTGGGTTACAGTCGACGGCGAGTTCTGTAGAAACTCGGTGATAAACGTAGTATCATTTGGATCGCATGTACTCGGGTAGGGCTGAAAAGTTAGGCGTAAATGTTCGGCAAATTCATCAGTTTTTTCTTTAGGACTTCTTGCCCAAGAACCATCTGATTTTCTTAATGGTGGAATAGGTATAGTGGGTCGTTTTAGTTTTTCGGTCGCTCTCCAGAGAGAATAATTTGTATCACTGGTTCCTGAAAGATTATGCAGATAATTTTTGAAAGAATCATTTTTATAATTTATTATTAATGTTTTGAGATCCGTGCACGCTCTGTTAAATTTTTGTTTGTCTTTGGGTGATCTGGTAATTTGCTAAATTTTTCGTAGTTTTCTTTTATATGCTATAGTTTTTTTAATGTCAATTGGCAGGGAGTGGTCGTTTGAATGATCCATTTGAGGATTTGATGTCTTGGCTGCTTCAATAATTATATTTGTAAAGTTTTTTAGTTCATTATTCAAATCAGTTTTGCTTTTCCGACGAATATTACAAGATATATTGTCTTCTACCTCTCTTTGGAAAAGATTCCAATCTGTGAATTTATTTGTGATTGAACTTGAAATTTTGGCCGGTGTTTGAGTCGAGTATTGAAGAATTATAGGCGAGTGGTCAGAGTTTAGATCCAAGCTTGATTTTAATTCCATACAGTTTTTTTAAATGTTTCTTGTGATAAAAAAATCAATAAGATCTGAAATTTTGTTTAAATCACTTGGCCAGTAAGTGGGCTCACCCGTTGAAAATGCTCTGAGGTCATTATTACTAATTGCATTAAATAATTGTCGGCCTCTCGGGGTGATCAATCTCGACCCCCAGAATGTGTGTTTGGCATTAAAATCTCCGCCCGCAATGAACATATTTCCAAGGCTGTCGAAAAAATTTGAAAACTGATTTTCTGTAATTTTATGTTTCGGCGGACAGTAGATTGCCGACACAATGAGTTGGTGAGTCGGTGTTAAATGATTCCATCTCGTAATGTTTGATGTTAGCCCTGATGATAACTGCCGTACCGCCATGTGGTCTGCCATCAGGATGGTTAGTGTAGTATAGTCGGTAGTTTTGAAAACGTATGCTATGGTGTAAATCGGTGAAATGAGTTTCAGAAATTAACATAATGTCTATGTTATTGTTAGATAAAAAATATTTAAGTTCTTGGACATGATTGCTCAAGCCGTTCGAATTCCATAAGCAAATTTTTAGTTGTATAGACATTATTATTTGTTATTTTTTAAAATGGTCGTGAGTAAATTGAGCATTGTGCACATTTGTTTTGTCAATGTTTTTATCATATTTTTTAGTTCGGTAAAGTCGTTTGTTATATTATTTGTATTGTTATCAGTGTTATTACTGTGGCCAATGTTGTTGTTGTTTGTGTTCGTTGCGTCTTCGGGCTGTGTTGCGCTGTTTCTGGTAATGTTTACGAAAGTTAGTCCTGGTCTTAGGATAGGATTTGAAGTAGAGTTTAGAGTCGTTGCGGTTCTTTGTCGTAAAGGAGAATATTTTCTTTAGAATTGTTCTCCATAGATGCTAAAGCTTTTGTAGTTGGCGAGGTGATCCTCTCCACAAAGGGCACATTTGACATGATCGACATTTCACGCATCTTGTGGTGCGGTGGCAGTAATTTCTTGTATGGCCGTACCTTTGGCAGCGTGTACATTGAACGATTTCCAGATTGAATTTTACTTGAGAAGAACTGATCAGTTTTAGGCTATATTGTTTCGGGGCTTTGTCTTCGAGTAATTGCATGAGCGGCTTGATATCTCCTATTTCGTGGGTAAATATTGGAGGAGGTCTGCTGGGTTGCGTTTTTTCCTTTTGAGTTTCTGATGGTAAGGCGGTATTTTTGGCTAAAACTTCATAATAATTTTTTTGTGGGCGTCGGATTGAGCAAATAATCCTTGGAGGTCACTTTTTTTGCAGTGTCATTATTAGATAATGATTCACTTTGATGTCGTTTTTTATTTGTAGCAACTTTCCATTCTTGATTGCTGTCAAGATTTTGTGAACTGCATTTAATAGCGGACGGATTGGCTACCTGACAAGCAGCTGACGATTCGGTGTCTAACTCCATATTGTTTTCAATGTGATTCATATTTTGTTTATTATTTACAACGGACGATTTAGAAATCAGTCCCGAAGTAGAAGGTTCGCTGACTAATACCGCATTATTTTCAATGTTATTATTTTGCTTATAAGTTTCCAAGTGAAAATAGCCCTCACCCGCCATTGTTGCACCATACTTGCCCTATTACAGAGATTGTAATAAAAATTTATCATACAGAGATGTGACAACTGTTTGTGTTGCCATCTGTAATAAAACAAACGTAGTTTGTAAGATCTTGCTCACAACAGCTCATAGAACCCATTAGTTCTGATTGCTGTTCAAATAAAATTAAAAAAAAAAAAAAAATATTTTGCTTTGTGTGTTTAACAGTGAATTTTGGTACCTGCCTCGAAGATTCAGCAGAGTTCAGAGGTTGTTTATTGCATTTGTTAACGGACGGTTTGTGCGTTTGCCTCAGAGTGCCTCAGAAGTATCATAAAGTACTTTGTTCGTTTCCACTAGCGGTAGTGAACATTAAAGTTCTGTTATATTATTATTTTCTGATGGTTCTAACATACGATATTTACAAACTGTACGATTGTACAAAATGTATACCCTTACGGGTAACATTTGTTGTGACTTTTTAAAAAACTGCACTAATAATAGTGTATGTTTTTCTGAATACACTAGAACTAGATAATAACACTATTGCGTAATTTCACATAAACTATTCCACTTGTACACTTGACAATATTTACCGGGAGGTCTTACCTGCTCGGTAGCTGACGAGCGACTACAAAAGTAACTTTTGACATAAATTTTGACTGTAATATTTTTTAAAAATTCTAATGAATTTTTAACAATAAACTTTTTGCCGTGGAGCCGTAATATTTATTATGCTTTATAAGAACATGATATATGTTGTTAAAATAGTTTTATAACTAGTGGGGCGCATGGAATCGTGTCTTAAAGCAAATTGCTGAAACTTCTCGTACCAAAAATTAAATTTTTAAAAAAAGATTAAATATGTTTTAATAAGAAACAGGGTGGCTGAAATCCAAGAGATCACATCAGGAGCAAAGTGGAGTCATGTGGCATCTCCAGATAATCCGGCAAATTTAGTGTCTAGAGGAATGACGGTTCAGGAGATCACACAATCCAATTTATGGTAGAATGGGCCCTCATGGCTCTCACTACGAGATAGTAATTGGCCAGTAACGGAAGTAGTAAAAACATCTCCAATTCCAGAGCAAAAGGCAGTACTCCACATTAACACATGCACAAATAACACAGAATTTGCAACAACATACACAAATTTTTTTAAATTTTATAAATTAATACGTGTTGTAGCTTATTGCCTTAGAGTGAAAAAGAAATATAAAGGACGCGTTTTCTAGATAATGTTACAGCGCTAACTGTTGCTGAGTTAGAAAACGCTCACCAGATAATAATTAGACAAACGCAACGGTTTACAGGAGCGTCATTGAAAATCTTAGGAGCAAGGGCAGCTCGGAGTTTAAGACAGCTCAAGAGCTAAAACCATTAAATCCTTTTGTTGATGCGGGAGGACTTCTGCGAGTAGGTGGTAGATTGGAGAACTCACAGTTACCATAATCACAAAAACATCCAATAATTCTTCCAAGGAGACATTACATAACACGACTGCTGTTGCGACAGGAGCATGTAAGATTATTACATGTTGGCACTCAAGCCATCTTGATTAACATACGGCAAAAATATTGGCCTATAAATGGAAGTAACATCATTAAAGGAATAATCAAAGAGTGCACAATCTGTAGGCGCTTTCAAGCAGCACAAACTCAACAGCTGATGGGATCGTTACCTGTTGATCGAGTGACAAGTAAAAGACCGTTTCTTGCTGTAGGTGTGGATTATGCTGGTCCCATTGAGTTGAGAGCAAGCCGACTGCGCAAAGCACCAAGAATAAAAGCATTCATAGTGGTATACACTTGCATGTCCACTAAAACAGTACACTTAGACTTAGTCACGGAATTATCAACTGCAGCCTTTTTGGATTCATTGAAACGCTTCGTGTCACGAAGAGTTGTGTGCCAAACCATATACAGTGACAATGGAACCAACTTTGTAGGCGCCAGTAATGAATTAGATAGACTCTATAACTATTTCGAAAATAATATTAATAAGAAACAGCTCATTGAGAGTGTGCCAACCATTGGAATCACATGGAAATTTATACCGTGACATGCATCCCATTTTGGAGGACTATGGGAACGGAACATTAGAACAATGAAGCATTATTTAAATAGGGTTATTGGTTCAACCTGTTTAACTTATGAAGACTATTTAACATTCTTGAATCAAGTAGAAGCCATAATGAATTAAAGACCCATTATTCCATTAAATGATGATAGCACCGATTCTGTGTTTTTAACCCCTAGTCACTTTCTTATAAATGATATTATGACTGCTATTCCTGAACCCGTAGTAGATAGTACTGCTCTAAAAAATAAATTAAACATACATAGACAGCTAAATGAGATGAGAAATAGGTTTTGGACCTTGTGGTCTACGGCATATTTAGCAGAGCTACAGAAGCGGGCAAGATGGACTGCATCCTTGGACAACCTAGCAGTTGATATGGTAGTCTAAATAAAAGAGGACCATGTCGCGCCATTACACTGGCCAGCAGGTCGGATAGTCAGCGTCACAAAGGGCAAAGATGGCAAGGTTCGGATGGCTACTATCAAAACCACTCAAGGACTATATGTGCAACCTATTGTGAAATTGATTCCTTTAATTAATATAGACAATAATTAAGTGTGTAAATCGTAGATTTTTAAGATAATTTTTTTCAAATTTATAAATAAATTTAAAATTAGAATTAGGTTAAGTTGACACCTTATTGAAGTTTATCAAGGTATGTCAATATGATAAAATGATAAAATCCATATTATACTCAGCTGTCAAATGAAATACTTAGCACTAAGTTTGTATATATATATCCTAGCTTAAATTAATGTAACTAAAAATGTATTATTATAGTTATTTAGCTTGTAACAATCTTGTGACATTGTATAACTTGACATGTAAGATAGTGTCATTCTTTTGCGCGCACAGGATGTTAAATATTCATATTAATAGTAGCGCCATCTATTATATTTACTGTGTATTAAGTGAATATTTGTTAAGTTCTATATATTGGTACTATTGATGAAATATTCTATGATTCATTTTATATCCGTTTTTAGGATTCTTTTTCTGATTTGAGCCGTGTGAGAATAAAGTAGTAATTTTGATAGTAAATATGTGTTTCCTTTTTTAAGTGTTTGATATTTCCTAAACCTTTTACACAAACTTCTCAATCTTAAATCTCTCAATCTCTTCAGCGCTGGCGATATTGGTTAGTAGAGCGTGGGCTAGCAGCAAGTAGTCCCGGGTTCGCTGGTTCGATTCCCGCTACCGCCGTAGCCCGACATCAGGTAGCTTCGATGTCAAATTTCCACTTGGGGTTATTGATCACAATATAACTCCAAGTGGTAATCATCCTTCGTGGACATAGTTGCAACATCCAATCATATGTAAACTGATAGACGTAAGAGCTGATATCAAAAATATCCCACACACAAAAGAATAGTAAATTGATGGATTGCCTCTCATGAAATACATAAGTAGACATAAGTCCTTAATCAACAGATTATAGAACATATAAGAGTTCTGATTGCTGTTCAAACAATAAAAAAAACAGTGTTATATAAACTGAATTGAAAAGTTCCAATGTTCAAAAACCACTGAAACGTGAAGATATGCAAAAAAATTTATTTTCGATTTTTGGCCCATTACTATAACTTTTTCTATAGGAAATTATGTATAATATTTTGCTTTAACGCAAATTGCTAAAACTTCCAGTACGGTAATTGAACATTGAAAAAAAAAACAATATTTAATAATAATTAATAATTTTATGTTTTCTCGACGTTTCAAGCCATTCTGAATCGAATGAGACCAAATTTGGAAAAAGTATGTGTGTGTGAACAGATAAATAGCAGAAAGTGAAAAATTTTTCGTCCACGTTTTAGCCCGCAATTCTGAATCGATTTTGAAACTTGAAAAACCGTTCGAAAGATATTGGCTGGAAATCGCGCTGATTAGTTTTTGGTCGGCCGGGCCGTTTTCTTATAATAAAATGTTAAAATTTATTTTCGACGATTTTTATTATTATTTTTTGACGGTAGATACCATAGTTTTATAGATCATTCTAAAATATAACGGCCCTACGACAGCTGGTTTAACTTTAAAAATTTGTCAAAGTTTGCAAAAAATGGTATCGTTTTTTCTTTGGCATTTGTCAAAATTAGACCTTTCATTGACGTTTGCTCAAAAGCGCCTGAACCGATTGCAGAAATTTAAAAGCCATTTGATGTATCTGTAGCGGGCTGTCAACACGCACCGCATTTGCTGTAGCAGCTCGTCAACACGCATCACATTTCTACTGGACAGATAGGCTCATATAGTGACAGCACGGAGGAAACAAAATTAATTCAAGTGTCAGATCTGACCTGGCTTTTGTTTATCCCTAGTGTGATTGCCAAAATTAAAATTCTTAAAACTTTTTATTTTTGATTGTAAATAAGTAAATACCAACTATATTTTATAAATGATAAATATGATAACACATGGTGTCGTCAATACTAATCATACATAAAATAAACAAAGTATAAAACATAATATTTCATAAAATTTATTATGACTACAATTTGGATAATTATGGTATTTAATATGGACTACACCTCCATATATCTCGATGATCGTTTCTCAGTTTTATGCGACGATCGGCTGAGCCGTTTTTTTGTAATTTGGGTAAAAGTGATAAACTTGTTGTCTCATTTAAGCTCAAACGTCGATTTTAAAACATCGAAAACTTCGAAAGACATTAGTTGGGAATGATACTGATTAGTTTTAGGTGAAAATCTACCGAGCTGTTTCTTGTAATTAACGAACTTTTTTTGGCGATATATATCATAGTCTTATAGAGCTTACTGAAATATTACGACTTTACGTCAAGTAGTTTAATTTTAAAATTTCATAAAAAAATGAGTAGTTTTTTTGACATTTGTTAAAATTAAAATTAGATGATTTACTTGGTATAACGATAGAGTACTTAGATTTAATGGACATACTAGACCATTAAAGTCCTACAAAAACTGGTTCAGTTTTAAAAATTATTAATTTGTAAAAAAATTCTTTTAAAAAATACTCCGAGTTTTTGTTCGTTTTCAATGATGTGTAATAAATCCACTCGGAATACTCATCACTTATAAATTAATTTATTTTTTAATGATTAAGTCGATTATTTACAAATATCGGGAAGTTCATGTAACTTGCCTCAAGGCAAAATACCAATTTGGTGATAATTTAGAACAATTAATTCAAATATATTCAAATAGATTTTTATAAATACTGTTAATTTATAAGTGCTTATTACAACAACTTATTTGCATATTTACAAGAATTATTTTTATTTTTTTCTCAATTCTGAAACATTTTGAAACTTTGAATTTTTTTAAATTTTAAAATTACTTGAAAATTTTGAATTTTTCTTAAATGTTTTGTTTGTTTTGGCAAATAATTTTCTAATTCGATTTTTGAAAATTTGGTAATTTTTTAAAAAAATCATTGTTTTTGAAAGTTTTGAAATATTCTGAATATTTTGAAAACAATTGTTTTTTTTTAAAAAAAATGACATTTTTCGAAGTTTTGAATTTTTTTGACAATTCTGAAAAATGTTGATTTATTTTTTAAATTCTTTTGAAAAATTTGATTTTTAACATCCAGTAGGGTAAGTTAAAGTAATCGCAAAAAATCGAAAATGAATATTTTTGCATATCTTTACGTTTAAAAGGTTTCTGAACATTTTGGAATACCTTAGAAAAAATGGGTGTATGTGTGTGGTGCGTTTGTGTGTGTGTGTATATATGTTTGGATACAAATTCTCCTCCACAATTTCGGGCGCACGAAACAACCGATTTGAATAATTAAAAAAACATTCGATTCCCATTGATAGAAAGTGATTAACGGAGACAGGTCCTGCCGATTTGAAAATACGGGGCAAAAAGTGCCCAAACCGTTATTCAGTTTTTGAGAGAACGGAGCCCCCGATTTGAAAGATTTAAAACACATTTTGCTTATATTCACGAAATGAGAATTGATTAAATTTTTCGAAAGACAGATCTAGCGGTTTCGGATATACAGAGAAAAAAGTAAAAAAAAGATATTTGGTGGTCAAAAATGATCATTAGACATATGTTTATCAAATTATCAGATATTTTAGAAATATTTTAAAAATGAGTACTAAATTTGTTAATTTTTTTTGGGGTTTTGCATTAAGATATTTAATTTTTAAAGTTCATTTGAACGATTCAAACAAATACTTTCTGAAAATACCAATTTTTAAATATAAATTTTAAAATTACAATTTATATATTTAAATGTATATATTTCATATGTGTTATTGTAATCGAGAAATAAAAATAATCAAAAATTGTTTTGAATAAATTCAAATAGATTATTTATCACAAATACCCACACATACACACACATACAAGATATATAAAAATTTTCGATTTCGATTTTTTTTAGATTAGGGTAAAGCGGGGCTAGTTGAGCATAGGGGTAAGTTGAGCAATCGAAATATCTCGAAAAGTATTCACCGTCCGTTTAGGCGTTATATGGCGGAAAGATAGAGGTTTGGGAAAAATAAACATTCCGCGATCACTAGTGGCCGCTGGACAAATGAGTGAGGCTCACGGGCGTTTTGTTTCTTTTGAGACCAAAAAGTAAAAACGTAATTTATCACGAGTTTTCGTCTGGTTTAGTCAAATGTTATTTATTTTTAATCAGGTAAATGTTATTCTTCAATATAATTATAGTACTTTTAATGTGCACAGAGATTCTGGCTATAATTCTCACGGTTTTTTTATAAACTCACTTTTATTTTGAAATTCCGAGTTGGGGTTAGTTGAGCATAGTTGCTAAATTTGTTCTGTCACTAAGACAATTATCATTAACTTCCAGAAATTGATCATTATTTTTAAGATTTAAGCTAAGTCTATGAGTAATAAAATAAAGAAATAATGATTTTAAACAAAAATACTGAATATAATGGTAAAATAATTTCTAAGCTACGATATTGTTCTGTTGACTCTACTTTTCGTTAATTATTCAAAGCAAATTACTATAAGTTT